CGATGCAGTCCCGCCACACTAGGCGCTTGGGTACTAGGGTTCTCATGTGGACGCTATGGACAGTTCGCAATAAGCTTGTGATTCAGTGTGCAACTCTTCGACGATCTACTGACACGATTTTCTAAATATGTGGTTACTTGCAGCTTTGGCGGCCGCTTAGCCGCCCACAGGATCGGGACGCCATCGACATCTTCATTGCAGATCTTCCTGTGTTGGCCTTCCGCTTGGCTCCGCCGCTTTCCCCACCACCTCCGGAGCCGGATTAGTCCCTCGGACTCGCTGCGGCAATGCCTATGGCTAGGCACTGGCCCTTTGCGTCCCCTTCTTTTCTCTCTTTAGGGCTTGTCAAGTTGTGCCCTCAACAGAACCTGGATCTTGTCGTGCTTTGCCTGTGTGCTACTTGTGTGCGTGTGTGGTGTGTGCTTGTATGTTGGAACTTGTGGCTCTGGTGGTTTGCTTTATATATAAAGTGGGGAGAAAGCCTTTTTCGGTAATACTGTGAAAGTCACCTACCGTCCCTCATTAGTCACCTAATACTCCCTCCGTTCCAAAATCTAGTGCACATAGATTCAGGCTCTAATACCAATGCATGCGCTAGAGGCTAGCTTTGGACGAGAATAACCCTGCTTCGTCTGTCACATGCCCTTGCAGACACTCAACTAGCTAGCAAACACCGGTGTGGGCATGCAGGCCAGGGATGCGGTGACGCCGACCACCGGCGGAGAAGCCGGCCGCGGGCGCAGTGACGTCGGACACCGGCGGCGGAAGGGAAGAAGCCGGCCGCAGGCGAGGTGACGCTGGCCGCCGGCGGCATAAGGGAAGAAGTCGGCCGCAAAAGCAATGCTCCTGGCCGTCGGCAGTGTACGTGGTGATGCTGACCATGGACATTGAGAAGCAGAGTCGGGACGCCGGCCACCATCGCGGACACGGTGCTGCTAGCCGCCCGCGGTGGACACGAGGAAGTCGGACGCGGTGGACGCCGGCCGCCAGTGAAGGACGCGGAGAAGGCAGCAGCAAACACGGTGACGCCGGCAGCGGACGCGGAGATGCCGAAGACGCCGGTAGCGGACATAGGTCGACGGTGACGCAGGTCTAGTGCCCACGCCCCTGACCGCCTCGCCACCGCAATCTCTTGGATCCGGCCGGGCGAAGAGGCATGCACAGACGGCGAGGAAGGCAGGCAACCCCGCAGCCTCGTGGAGCTGCCCAAGCTTAGGTGCAGACAGCTCACACTTGCACTTCTTGCCGCCGCTCGCACTCGCACTTGCACTTCTTGCCGCCGCTCGCAGACACTGCCGCCGCCATGTCCGCTCCAAGATCAAGCCGTCATGGTCTCGGCCGTTGCTCCTCGTAGCCGGAGCAGGGGAACGGGAGGCGATGGCATGGTCCTCGTCGCCGCGGAGGAGAGAAGAGGATGGTGTGGCCCTCGTCACTACTAGTCCAATCCCGAGTCCCGACCGCCTGCGATGCGTGTTGTGTGCAAGAGGAAGGGAATAAAGGCGATGTGGGCGTCCGTGCGGCTGTGGGCTTAGTTTCGTCGAGAAGAGCACAAAGTTGCTTATATGCACTACATAGTGGAATAACGCTGTTATGGTTCTACTAGGAGGGCGCAAGAGGGCCGGCCGGGGGCCTTTTTGCCCACGGCCGGGCAAGAGGGAAGGGGATTTCCTTCTTAATTCTTGCTTCATTAGATTGATACATCTCCTCTCTTTATATAGAGAGGTTTACTTGACTCCCAAGCAAGGCTTACTTGACCCCTAAGCAAGCGACCCTTATCTCTAACTAACCCTAAGACTAACGGGCTATACCGCCAGCCCAGGCCATTAGGCCCATTACGTACTCTAACACTACAGCCTAGGCCTAACCAACTTATAACCATGACTCGACGCAACACAAACCTAACACCTAAAAACAAGCCTTTTACATCTCGGCTTGTTTTATTACTCTCAACCTGAAATGGACTGGGACGATTTATTTTGGACCCTTAACAAAAAGTGGACACCATCCGCACGTCGGACGTGCACGTGTACAGCCACCTGGATCCCATGAACACCATCTGGACAAAAGGAGTGCATGTGTATGGCCACCTGGAAGTGGTCGCAAGAGCGACCGGCAGAGGCGCTCTCGCGGCGGCCGGCAGAATGCAGTGGTGCTACGCGGTGCGCTCCTGTCGGTGACACCCTGCCTTCTCCCCGCCGGACGGTTGTTGGTCTGCACCGCATAGAGAAGAGTGGAGGGCTTGCGATGGAGAATGACGAGGGGTGCGCCCCCACAACCGCCGATGTCGCAGACTTTGAGGTTGCTGCCCGCGGGGAAAATAGCATGCCCAAGATCCCCGACGCAGCGGACGAGATCGAGGTCCTTTGCGCAGCGAAGCGCAGCTGGGAGGAGCGGCAGCTGCAGACCACGCATCTCCCGCACACGCCGACGCGCTAGGAGGCTGCGCGTAACAGCCTGCAGCCTCACCGCCGCCGACACGTGGCGAGTAGTGATCCAAGCTGGAAGCGGTGACGGTGATGGCGGGAACTTGATCTGCTGGATGGGGACGCCCTGGGGAAGCGGTGATGGCGACGGCGGGAACTTGATCTGGTGGATCGGGACTCCCGTCGGCACGGTCGATGCGGGGCTGGAGCTGACCGGCGATGGCTGCTGCAGTTGCAGCGGCTGCTCCGACGAACCGCCGGGCGCGGCGTAGATCGCCAGGAGCGGTGGCTGCCACTGCAGCCAGGGCGGGGCGGTGGTGGCGGTGGATGACAGCTGCTGCAGCAGCCCGGTGAGCGCGGCGGAGGCCACCTGGTGCGGCGGCTGCCACGGCAGCCATGACGGGCGGTGGTGGTGGTGGATGGCAGCTGCAGGGCTGCTGCAGCAGCCCGGCGAGCGCGGCGGAGGCCGCCTGGTGCGGCGGCTGCCACGGCAGCCAGGACAGGGCACTGGATGGCAGCTGCAGCGGCTGCTGCAGCAGCTCGGCGAGCACGGCGGGGGCCGCCTGGTGCGGCGGCTGCCACGGCAGCCACGGTGGCACGGTGGCGGTGATGGGCGGCGCAGCCGGGTGCGGCCCGTAGGACCCAGCCAAGAACATGCGGATCTCCTGGACCGCCTGTGTTAGGCCCCGCAGCGCCCCGGACACCTCCGGTGTGAGGACGACGGGGGCGGGCGCGACGGAGGATCCCGACGCGGGCAGGAGCGGGGCGACGGTCGTGGTGGTCGTCGGAGGCGACGAGGTGACCGGCAGCGGAAGAGACGGGTTGGGCGGCGGTGAAGACATGATCGAACCGAAGCTAGCTGATACCAAATTGTTATGGTGCTACTAGAAGGAGGGCGCAAGAGGGCCGGCCGGGGGCCTTTTTGCCCACGGTCGGGCAAGAGGGAAGGGGATTTCCTTCTTAATTCTTGCTTCATTAGATTGATACATCTCCTCTCTTTATATAGAGAGGTTTACTTGACTCCCAAGCAAGGCTTACTTGACCCCTAAGCAAGCGACCCTTATCTCTAATTAACCCTAAGACTAACGGGCTATACCGCTAGCCCAGGCCATTAGGCCCATTACGTACTCTAACAAACGCTAGAAAACTTATGCGCACTATAAAGTGGAACGGAGGGAGTAATGCGAAAGTTACATAACATTGCTCATTGATCACCTGAAATATTGTGGAAGTTGTTTGTCATGGTTTCTAAGTTGCCTACCTCGAAAACTAAGTTCTTACAGTTTATGAAGTTGTCTACTGGTGATGCTCAGTTGCCTGCCATTGCTAATTAGTTGCCTAGAGTACCATGAGTTTCCTACCATGGCTTCTAAGTTGCCTACATCGAAAAATAAGTTGTCTACAACACTATGAAGTTGCCTACCTATGATGCTCAGTTGCCTGACATAGCTAATTGGTTGCATGTAGTACTATAAAAGTAGGCCTACCATACTGAAAATTACATAAGCAACTTACCATAATGCACTCAATGGTAAGCAATTTAGGAATAAAAGTTAAGCTACTTGGGGGTCATGGTAGCCAATTTAGTGCAGACATTAGGCTAACTAGCGCCATGGAAGGCAACATCACGAGTTGTTTCCTATAGAACTAAAAGTTGCTTCATGTAGCACCCAAGTTGCTTTGGAAAAAGTTCATCGGAACATACTGATATGGAATCTGGTTTTGAAGAACTCGTCACGAGAGGTCCAGCAGAGAAAACGGATTGTAATTCCGACGCTCAATTCAAAAGTTATAGCATTTTGAAATATCGAAAAGAGGAATTAGTATGACAGTACAGAGGTTTGATATTCACATGCAAGCATGGGGGTGCAGCATGTGCATCAGCGCAGAACACCACATGTCATTTTCCTTGCATGGACCAATCACCTTTTGCCATCTTGGGTAAAGGAATCAAGTTTTCTTGTTTCCCATTTTTTGGTCTATACTCCATATAACTAAAAAGTGCAGCTGCACTTATCAGAAATTGATTTATTTTGCCAAATATATACATTCGACACCCACATAATACTTTGCTATTATTTGTTACTTTCTTCAAGATTCCACAACTAGGCTGAATCAAAAGATTCAGAAAATGGAAGTCCTAGATTACTGCTGCTCATTCATGCACTTGGATTGCAAGACCCTGGTTAAACTTTATGAGAGGGAAAAGAAAAGAAGTCCTAGATTACTGCTGCTCATTCATGCAAGAGGCTACTCTAGTGCCCCCAGTCAAACTTTAAGGTCGGTGTTGGACCTGGAGAATCCAAAGAAAACAAGTAGTAGTCATGTATTTAATTTCGAAACATCAGCTAACCCTGATTTACTACTTGTAGTATTTTATGACAACTAAACTGTTCTGATGACTGATGAAATCTTAAAGGGGTTAGCAGCTAAGCCAGCAACAGAGTTCAAACACTATGCATCAAAAAGAAAGTTATGTACCGCAAAGTATCAATTATTTCAGAGTGTGGTATGATTCCCTCTAGTTGAATGTGTGAATGACATGGAAATGATAATCTTTGACAGTCTGTCACCTACCTCTGTCACCATAAGAGCCTTCACCAACTCATTTTGAGGCGATGCTGCACATGAGAGGTGTATATTGAAATTAACACACGCGGACGCGGGCAATCAGAAAAAGGGACTGTAATCTTGACTTGCTTCTTCTGTTGAATCGCAACAGATCAGGACCTAATCAACAAAAATGTCCTTACTTTTAATTGGAGAACCATTGAGAAAAGCACCTTTTCCACGAACAGCTGTGAAAAGCTAATTGAAGAAAAAACACAAAATCAGACTCAAAACCTTTCCGAGTTCCTTTGCCCAGATTATATTGCACCGATCCTCAAATAAAACAAGGAAAAATTACATAGGAAAAATTACATAGAGTAACAATATTTACCTCATTCATGATGGGGTTGTACACAACTCCAACGGTGGGAATCTTCCCAATGGTGAGGCCAATCGAGACGCACACAAAAGGAAAGCTGAAATATAAAAAAGTGCACAATCTTGGCATAAGAAAAGAAAATGCACGATGAAGAAAGGTACTTTGTCTTTTTGACAGATGGCTTTCACTCTTGTACCGACACGCTCTCGCAGCTGGCAAGGTTATTCCGCCGAGTTCAATCGGGGTCGCTGCCTCACCGGAGTCTCACCTCCTCGACCTTCACTAGGGGTGTGGGTTAGTGCAGCCGCTTCTAGGCGCTCATGGATACTGCCGAGAGTCTGACGGCGAGCCAGATTCAGAGGTGACCGCGGGTGAGAGGCGAAAGGAGGAGAAATCCTCATCTCGTCTAGCGACTTTGGGAATTCGACAAGGGAGCTCTGGACAAGCCCTCAGCGCACGACAACCATACAAGTCAACGCCTGTAGCATGCACTCCTTGTCGCTGGTCACCTCGGTGGCAAAGAGATCGTTGTCAGTATGGATACCCGTTCAGATAGAGGCGGTACGGGCGCTAGGGCTGGGCATTCGGTATAAACCGAAAATTCGGTTTCTACCATTCGGTTATTTCACAAATTCGGTTAGCAAAACCAAAAACCAAAAATGATAGCCCAAAATAACTAACCGAAAATTCGGTTAACCAAATATTCGGTTCAGTTTCTCGGTTTACACCGAACAAATTTGCTTCAAGCATTTGTGCCAGCGGCACACTCTTATAGCCAAGAAAATTTGCCTCGTGTCTTCAGCCAGGCGAGGTGGGACTAAAGGAATAAAGGTGTCTCTGGTTGTCTATTCACATGCGGACTAAGCATGCATGCACGTGGTCGGCCCATGGTCAAAGAAAGTTTGCATATTTTTAACAACGTCCAAGTTTGCTAGTGGGCACGCACATGGGCTAGTGGCTGGCTGGCTTGGTCCAGTAGCAACGTCGAGGCCTTGCCCTATAAAAAAAGCAACATCGAGGCGAGAAGGACAGCGCCGTCGCTTCACGCCAGCCTTGCATCTGCGTTGACTCTCTGTGTCTCACGTACACGTAGTGTTCGGTTTTGTTTCGGTTAACCGCATTAGAAACCAAACCAACCGAACTTAGTTCGGTTAGTACAAGCAGAAACCAAAATTTCCTGTATTATTGACAAAAACCGAAATTTCGGTTTTTTCGGTTTCGGCTTCGGTCCGGTGTTCGGTTTTTCGGTTTTTATGCTCACCCCTAACGGGCGCACCCGAACCATATTACCCGCCCGAGTGGCTAAGGGGCCCCGAGCCTTGCGCCCCACTATGCTCGAATATGCACTTCTAAGCAGTGACAGATCCAGGAATTGAACTTATTAGTGCCCCACATTTAAGGTCTGAACATTTTAACATGCAAATGCAAGTCCTCTCAACCAAAACTCATAAAACTCAAATACAAAGCTAGATGTACTAAAAAATTAACATAACTAATGGTTCAAAATAGTTCAAGACTCTCAACAACTAGGTGATGTAACCACAAAAAAGCACAAAATACAAACATTCCCAATTCTCGACAAATATTCCCTCCTCGCTGCATGAAGCAGCACAAGGTTGTGGAGGAGCTAACTCCACCTTGCTGCTACAATGTGTACAGCACAAGTGTTGAAGGAACAACTTCAACGTGCTGCGCTAGATATCACTCTAGAGACGAATGTAGGCCAATATGGCAGCAGGAGTTCAATCCAGAACTCCTAGAGCACAAGATCTACTCCAAGATCTTAGATAAGAACACCAAGTTCTATTATAGGTAGTGGGGTAAGTAGTCTGGGTACAAAGTAGAGGTGAGGACCTCTATTTATAGGGCTTTGGGAAGCCTTCACGTACTTCTACTTATAGCTGGAATACTCTAGAAAACATTATTTAAGTTTCACCATTCTACTCATAGCTACTCACAACTAGAAGACTCTAGAAATCAGTAGGTATGGTAGAAAAGAAAAGAAGTACTACACTAGAGTGGAAGCATCTAGACGTAGCCAAACAAATCTGACATGCGATTTTTTTCCTCATCTAGTGTTCCTCATCACTGCGTCTTTAATTTCTGGAGTAGAATAATTTCCAATTTGTTCTAGAGACCGGAATCAGGTTGAATATCAGCTTGACTAAATCCTTGAATAGAAGTTTGCAAAATGTTATCACGAGAGCCCTCATTACACACTGCAGGTTCAGGAACAGGAGCTCATAAAATGTTTGCATCAGAGGCTTCATTAGACAATTAAGGTTCGGTAATTGGGGGAGTTCCAAATTAAGCAGCAATTGGTTTCATTTTCTTATAGATTCCCTACATTACATCATCACCAGGTTCAATAATTGCCCACAAGACCATAAATTTAAGGTTCATATGAGAAAAAAAATGAATTTGACTGGGTATACCTGTTGGTCGCGCTTGCTGCCCTTGCAAACTGCAACTTCCCGTTTGCGCAAGCTCGATGCCGTGCCACTGCCGCTGCTGCCACCCACGCAGGCCAAGCGGGGGACTATTTATTGTTTTCCCATTCGTCAGGTGCCCGGTGTCCGGCGAGCCGGAGCTACGCATGATTGCGGATTTTTGGGATTGCCTGCTACTTGCTCGACAGTTCTAGGCTATCTAATTTGGGCTGGTTCTAGGCATTTTTTCTGTAAGTGCTAGCCCACGTTTAAAACGAATGGTTTTCCTATTTCATATCTCTATGTCGTCACGTTGTTTGCCTCCTCTTTCAAAACGAATCGGTGTTGGATTTGGCCACCTAGGAAACACATTACACGGCTACCCGGGGCAGCCACCCATACCTGCCCCTACGGTGGCATCACCCTTGGTCGTAAGGAATAAGATCAGGAGCGCTTCTTTAGGAATTCTACGATAGCGGGAGGTTTGTACCTCGTAACTGCAGGATAACCTGATTGTATCATATCCCTGGAAAATCAGGACCAAACTACCGACCTAAGACTAGCTATATAAGGGCGGTACCAATCCCCACCAAGGGGACGAAGATATACGGGAGCTCATTTCCACACCCTAGCTCAGTAGATAGGAAAACACAAATGTAATCCTCTGTGATCATCTATAAAGATGGGTAGGAAGGAAGTAGGGCTATTGCCCATCCACGGGCCTAAACCTATGTAAAACCACGGTTTCACCTTCATCGCCGACGAGAACCCTTCGAGCACCAACCCTCTCTCTCCACTTCCATGATAAACCTCAGATCTTAAGATCAGCGGACCATTATTCATCAACATTTGGCATCCGCCGTGGGGCCCGAACGGATCTTCGTCACCAACAAACCTTTTCACAAAGCACAAACATACTAACAAAGCGAAAGGTTGGGGCTAGTCCCCCACTTTGACCCAGGAGGCGTACATCAACCTCGCTCTTCGGGGCGAAAACCTTCTAGTGTCGGTTTGGGTCCTCCTAGATCGTCTCGCTTCGGCACACCCACCCAGGTCAACTTGAGAAGTGGAGGAGGATCTCTTACCGCTGGGGTACCCCATTGGTTCAACATAGTCAATTACCGTTCAGGCAGAAACCCTTGTGGAGAATAAGGTTGCACGCCAAATCCCCTCGCCAGAGAGCTGCCCAGATCCCGCCACACTGTTGTGAATCGGATTGTCATCAGGGAATCGTTTCACCATACATTGGGATTATTTGGAGATCGGTTCATCCAACTCGTAAATCCGAGCCGTGCACCATGTCGGCCTGCACCACCAAACTCCCTCTTGGTGGTTAGGGACCACCACTCCTAGTGGACCGGGGACCGCGCACAAGACTTTGTTCAACCTTCGGATTATCCATTCATCATGTAGTCGATGCTTCAGAATCAAGTCGTCTCTGAAGTCTCTACTCATCATATCCTCTCGACAAGCCTCCTCCAAGATGGTCCTCCCTTCGCCCCAAGGACTCACCTTTGCGGGAGATATTCGTCGGGGCGCCTTACCTGGTAAGGCGAATTATCCTCTCCATACGCATGGGATGAGGGAAATATCTGACTACTCCCACCCACGTAAGCGTTATCGAGGTTTGCACAATGTTCATGTCCATCTTGGGTAAACCCACACTTCTCTCGCTATGTGCAATAGTGTTTCATGACCGCCTGTGCCTCGGAACATGGGGACCAAGGGCATGATTACGGTCAAGAGTTCCCTTGGAGCGGTCTCTTGACCGCAAGAAACATACCTTGATTAAGTTATGAGTGACATCCATAACCTCATGAAAGGGTACCAGCTGGGGAATGTCCTACTGACCGAACCTAGGAGTAACTGCTCCAGAGTTTGACCACCAGACCATCGGATAAATCTCACGAAAGAGGACGATATGGTTGTCTAGAAATAAAAGGCTACTCTTCCCAGGCACTGGTCAGGAGATACGGCTCATTGTCGACTCTATAAAAGTTCCAAGAGTCTCGCCTAGGTCAAAGATCTGGCTCGGGGCTCGAAGGTGAAAGATCTCACTTCCGTGACTTCAGTCAACAACGCTACACAAGTTCCTATTTCATAATAACGTGTTCACAATAACCTTACTATACAGAAAATATAAAGACCGTATTCACTATTTTCGGACATGATCCTCTTTTATGCTTCGCCTTTCCATCAGAACCTATCATGGCCATTAAGCACTCCTATGTTGGCTCGGCAGGAGCAATGGGCTCCCCTCAAGTCACGAACGAATTATGGCGACCGTCGTCGCCTCTCCACCCCACGTATGTTTTCCCCAGGGACACATAAATGTCAAGGGGTTGCCGAGAAGCCATGGATCAATGAGACCCGTAAGTGCAGCCCGAGCAAAACATTCCAGGTCCTCATAGGAGCTAACCATGGTGTAGTGCATTACCTCGGCACTTCTTCCTCGGATGAAGGAAAAGAAGGTTGAGCATTTCCGACGCTTTTTTCACCTCTAGGGGAAGTTTCTTCGGAAGCGCTCTAGGGTATGCTACCTATAGGTATGGCCCGAGATAAAAAAACTGGGAGATCCACTTTCCTGGTCACAAGAACAAAGTGCCCACCTGAATAAGCCTCCCGGGCGCAATTGGAGGGACTGGAGAAGGGGAAGAAAACGCTCGGGGTCCTGACCTTTCTTTGCAGATCAAGACAAAAACTTGCAAAGCTCTTGTAGGACACACAAGGACCTCACCAAGCTCGGGGGCAGGAGATAAACATTAGAGACGAAAACAACTTGCTCAATGGTAATTTTATTGCACCAATTCATTAAACACATAAGGAGTTTTTTCCATAGTGCTTTTCAGGAGAGTACAGAAGCCCACTACTCAAAAGATACATCTAGAACGGAGTACTGATGTCCGGCTAGTTCACAAACTTCTCCACCGCTGGCAATAGTTTTTCAACATGGTCACGATGCCCCTCCGAATGAGGTTGGTCTAGCAGCAGACCAATGAAGTCGGGACCAATGAAGCAGATATGCGGATGACACCATGCTCCCTTTTAGCCTACTATCAAAGCATTGCCATGGTCCAATTGGTCTAAGGTGATGTATTGTATGAAGATTATTTTTTTAAGAATGTGAGACTGCTGTTATGGGGGTGTCGATAGCGCAGTAGCAAAGGGTTGCTACTCTATTTTGAGGTGATGTCTTATACGAAGATTATTTTTTAAGAATATGAGATTGCTGTTATGGGGCTGTTGATCATGGAGTAGAAGGGCTGCTAACCTTTTACTCCCTCCGTTCCCAAATATTAGACCTTTTAGAGATTCCATTATGAACTACATACGGATGTATATAGACATATTTTAGTGTAGATTCATCCATTTGCTCCGTATGTAGTCCATAATGAAATCTTTGAAATGTCTTATATTTAAGAACAGAGGGAGTAAATTGCAAATCTGCCAATTTTTCGATCTCATACCACGATATTCCTATTAGTGAGAAAGTTTTATGCCTTAACTAAAACCTGTCATGCAATAAAGTATCCGAGCCCTGGAAATGCAAATTTTCTCGTGTTAGGGGGAAGATTGGTTCTCAATAATGTGTGTCTCCCGCCAGTCCCAACTTACACCATGGGTCGCTTTCTGTTAGCCAACAATGTGCACACAAGTTTCAACAAAGTGAGGCTCATTTTTTTTCTAGGAAAGACATACACTCAAACGTAAATACCGTACATAGTGAAATGGGCATCTATTTGCAAACCTAAAGACCATGGGGGTCTAGGAGTGCTAAACTCCCAACTTATAGACATTGTTCTACCAAGCAAATTTATATGGAAGATTAGTCAAAACTCTCTAGGTCTACAATTGGATCTCATCAAAGACAGATACTAGAAGGTCCAACTTCTTCACCTCGACTAGGCGTAGGACCCCTTTCTGGAATGGAATCCAGGCCATCAAGCCAATCTTTGATTTAGGAGCAAAGCATCTTGTATGGGACAGGCAATCGACCAGATTCTGGTTGGACAATTGGATTGGTGGGCCCCGCCCCACATCAGATACCGCCAGCTCTTCATCATGGCCTCTGATCCAGAGATGTTAGCCAGCTCAGCAATTAGACAGGGGTCGCTCAACGTCTTGTTTCATCATACCTTTGACCAGGTCGAGGCAAACTTATGGGAGGCCCTTGGTGCCAAAGTTATTAATGCCCTGCTATTGAATTCATCCAACAAAATCTCCTGCGACCTAGAAGCGACTGGTCGGTGAAATCTTTATACGCCAAACTCTCTTCCGACCCTGTTGTTCAGCATGCTAAACTTCTTTGGCAAGCGGCCATGCACATGAAGATTAAGGTCTTCATCAGACAGCTGATTAGGGGGAGATTACCTCGGTTTGCAATATCTTGAAAGTTGAAACACAACGGTCCGAGTGATGGCTCCTATGCCTTGTGCGGTAAGCGAGAAGATAGAAATGATATATTATTTTGCCCAATGGAGAAATTCATGTGGAACTTTGTGAGGGAGAGACTGGGATGATCCTGGAACCCAATCTGTTGCTCTGAGCTCTTGGGCCTTGTCCTGGGTGTTGGGGGTATGCAACGAACAGTCGCATGGCATTGCATTGCAGCCATGTGTTGAGCCTTATGGAATATTCATAACAAATGGCCATTGAAATGATGTTTCCATCCAATCCTGTGTTTAAATGTTCGACCTTCTTTCAGCTTTGGATGCCTCCAGGGAGAATGAAGGACAAGGAAACTTCATTGGATGGATTATAGAGGCTTATAGATCTTCATGCTACGAACTGAAACGTTCTAGGCACTTCAGGAGCTGCTTAGCCTCTAGTCCTTTTGTGCGAGGTGCATGCTTGATTTGCACTTTGTGCGAGGAGCCGAGGAGTATGTGTTTTGGTTTGTAAGACTTATATGTTACTTTGCCACTGTTTGAGCGCTTTATATAGTATAAGGCCAAGCGCTCCTTGCGCCTTTTGTTCTAAAAAAAAGCAAGAAAACAAGGGTCCACAACAGAGTGCGCATACTAGAACATCGTCGTTACCCATGAACGAAATTGGTGGTGCCATCGAGAGGGTCGACTATCCAGGTGGGGTCGTAGGTGAGGTCATCGGTGGAGCCGAGGGCTGCAGACGTCTCCTCGCCGATGAACTTGTGGTCCGGGTAGAGCATCCGGAGGTGGTTGAAGATGAGATCCTCGCAGGCCTTGTCCGTCTCCGTCACCAGATCCACCTGCAGCAGCAACAATCCATAGCACCATGACGACTACGTAGATCGCAATCCAATCAAGGCAGACAGCGGCATCAAAAGGAGGCAAGATGCGTGGGGAAAAGAAAGAGGCGAGAGGAAAGACCTGGCCCTTGTGCTCCACATTCTTGGTTAGGTAAAAGCTCTTGCGGATAATCTGCATAGACCATAGGGTACAAATCGGTCCCAGAATGAGCGAACAGGAAATCGCGAATCCGTCACGAGCAGTGGGCCTGAGAAACAATTGCGGCAGGAGGATGAAGGGACGGATCGAGTTCATGGTATAGGAGGATTACCTCGCCGGCGCTCTTGGCGGCGTCCACCGCTGCGGCCAGGAACTGCTCCTCCGCCATGGCTTCCGAATCTCCCGCCTCCAGACTACGAAGAGGGATTTTTTTTTTTTGAGCTATACGAAGAGGGAATTTGATGTGTACAGGAACCCTCGGCTGGGTGGAGCGCCCTAGGTGTGTAACCTTTTCGTTGGACGCCAATGGCCAGGATCATCGGGTTAGAGCTAGTTTGGGTTAGTTTGGAGCTCAAATAAGCTAAAAGTATCAAACAGGAAGGGTTAGAGTAGATTAGTTTCACCAACTATCTCGGTGGAGAGATGCTTATTTGGGTTAGAGTGGATTAGAAAATAACTCTAACTCTAACTGTGTTAGAGTATCCAAACAGGGCCATTGTGGTCTCGGTGAACCAATCATTCGCGTTGGATACACCTCCCACGCAAACCGCCACCGCGCATGGATTCAAGCATCATAACATCGAATTGAGGTAAGATCTGCACTAAACCTATCATCCCCACCCTCCCATGTCACTCCCGCATCTAACAATGCCAAAACCTGCTGCTTTTACCACGAGAGTGTAGCAAAAGCACACAAAAAAATGACATGTTATGTAAATTTTGGAGCTACAAGTAGTATAAACTTGCACATGTATACTTAATGGTTTTGCTATGTAAATTTGTGTGGAAGGTATCAATAGGTGTCAATAGCATTTTATGGCACACAAATGTTGTTCTTTTAAATGAAAGATAAATAATAGAAAAAAAATGTCATGTCATGTCCACTAAAACTGTCATGCCATACCCACTAAAACTATTATGCCATACAATCAGCCATATGTACTAAAATTGTCACCTGAAAGCTGCTAAAATGCCAAATGAGTAGTACTAAAATTGCGAGGTGAGTGCTGCTAAAAAATGCCTGGTGAGTAGTACTAAAAATGCCATGTAAGTGCTGCTAAAGGATGCTATGCTAGATCCACTAAAACTACCATGCATGCCATACTATGATCCACTAAAACTATCATGCTAGGGGAAATGAAAAATGACATGCCATATCCAATAAAACTGCACATGCCACTTTTGGGGAGAAAACAACCATATGTACACCGCTGGAAAAAATGCCTAATGAGTACTACTATAACTGCCATGTAAGTGCCGCTAAGAATCCTGATAAATTGTCAATCAAAAAACATGTCATCCCTGCATTTTAGACCGCGTACTTTAGTGTGGGTGTTCAATTGCATGGCTTAGATACAAAAACTGTCATGCAATCTTCAAAAAAAAAGGCATGTGACCAGTGGCGGAGCGTGAACCAAGTGTTAGGAGGGGTCAAAACAAGTGTATGACATAGAAAAGGCTAGGGTGATCGGACATGCCGGAGAATTAGTAGAGCGATTAGTTGAAATATAAGCCTATTGTGTAATTTTTTCTCTAGCAAGGGGGGGGGGGCAACGCCCGGTATTGTCCCCACTACTCTCCGCCAATGCATGTGACTACTACTGAAAACTACCATGTTAGTGCTACTGAATGCTGCTATGTGATATCAGATAAAAACCCTGCTAAAATGCAATTTAAACAAGAGCATTGTTTTTTTAAGAAAAAAAGAAATTGCGTGCTTTGTAATACAAAATGTCATGGCATACACGCATCTTATGAAAAGACGTGTTTATCTATTTACATTGAGGTTTTAACCCCCCCCCCCCTCCCCCCAAAAGCAATTCATGTACCTGTAAGAGAGGCATTGTTTCGGCATGGGGGCACGAAGAAATCATGGATCAAGGGTCAAACAATGAGCCGCAGTTGAATGCTGCTTGGGTAAGTCAGTTTG